TTGGATTGTTCAATGCCCAGACTTGCAGTGTAGGCCCATAAATGGAAGGTAGCAATAATCTTAAGCCCAAATGGCAGCCCCTGGCCCTGAGAAAGAAGATGGGATGTGTCTTCTATTTCTCTCTTTGTTTCATTGTATCATAGCCATGAATGTAAATTATTTATTACTATTTATAAATTATTTAAATTTGATTAAAAAATTCCATTTTGATTTGATTATTATCGAGTCGAGTCTAAATTTAAGGAATTTGATTTATATATCGAATCAAATTTGATTATTTTTATATTCGATTCAAGTTACTCGTAAGCTTAATTAATTTTTTATATTTTAATATATTTTAATTATTTTAATTGATAAAATACTCAAATTTAAGCTCAAACATAAATAATCAAGATTTTATTAAACATAAGAATCGATTTTATTTTTATATGTTAATCAAGCTTAATTAAATGAGTTCAAAAATTTTAATTTTTTTCTCGAATCGAACTCTAATTAAAAAAATAAAATTTGATAGAATTCAAATTAATCTTTGAATTTGAAGTTGAATTTAAATTCAAATTTAATTTTATATCTGATTTAATTTCGATAGATTATTTTTATAATGCGGTTCTCTTTTCTCAGGTCAGTTTTTGTTCCACTTTTTCTTGAAAATTTTTTTCTCGTACTTCAATGGGTTTTGGTTACTTAGGAAATAGAAAATTCAGGGAAAAAAATTTTGATGTATTATAGACGAAATTTAGCAACTATTTTAGCATAAATATAACTTACTGATATACTAATATTCATGAATTTCTTGTTTTTTTTTTGTCTTCTTTTATTTCTGTTTTATGTTAGAATGAGTCGATTACAAAGGCCTAATTCGCTGAAAAGGAAACGACCGGGCTCAACTTCCGATTCTCTAACACAACATGAACGAGCTGCTCATGATATAAGCCAAGGTAAACGAGACATAGGAATCTTCCAACGAGACATGAAACGAGAAATTAACCTTCCTGACAACCTAGATACCAAATGTCTCAAGTCATTGTATCCAAGAATCTCATAAAAGAAGTGAAAAACATCCAAAGCCGTGGTAGGAAGCATTTTATCTCTGCTGATTTTGAGCCATCAACTGAAATAACCGGTGGGGCATGGTTTGTTGAAGGTAGTCTTGATACCGAGTCTGTAAATGTTTTGAAAAAGCAGTGTTGGAGGAAGATTTATGGTCTGAAGGTTGCTGCATTGGAAGGGGTGAGGGTTGCCATTAAGAGGAGCAAAGTTTCGCAGATTGAGTTATCGAAACAGCAGATTGAAGAGATTGTCAAATCTTTGGTTTTGGATAATGAGGTTATGGAAGTGAAAAGTAGTGGAATAGGGGAGTTTGCTTCGATTCCGGTTAGGAAAGTTTGTTATGAATACATTGGTAACAGAGGGTATGGAGGAGAACCGAAGGTGGGGGCCTTGGCTTCCGTTCCTTGTGGAGTTTGTCCACAGATAAGTCATTGTACCCCTGATGGCATAATCTCTCTCAAGACCTTTGTTTATTTCAAGAAATGGTTTTATTTTTAGTATTGCATTTGCAATTTTTCTGATATAATTTTGCTGAATTGAATGAGCCAAAAATTTTGTCATTCATGAATGCTTTTATAGTCAAAGTTGAATATGTATATCTATATCTATATATATATATATATATATATATATATATTTCTCATTGGATTTATTTGTTATTGGTTGTCTGTTCTCTTGGATGTGATACAGTAGGCTTAATTTTCTTTCTTTCTTTGTTTGGATAATAAAATGCTTGACTATTTCGTCATTTGTGAACTTATACTTGATGAGGAATGTGGCCTTGATAGATGGCATCTCATCAACTAATGGAACATAACGTTCAATAGAAAGAGTAAGGTGCCTTATAACATGAGCCACTTATTACCATCTCTTTATGTTTTGAAACCCTTAAATAAGCAACATCAGGGAATGCGTAATTAATAGTTTTCTGATAGGTAGGAATATGCTTACTACTGTACTATTCAGGTGTTGCCTAGCCTGGTTCCGTTGTAGGTCACAGTTCTGATGGTAGCCTTCTGATGGTTCTGTTGATAGTCTTCTAATGGGTGTTTGATTCTATTCCCTTAGCTTATGGAGGTAGTCAATTATGATCTCTGCCATAATTTTTTTTTTTTAATTTTTGGTTGGTTGCAGGTTCATAAGGGATTTTATGTATGACAATGTTGCAAACAACCGTTAAGCACTTTTTGGCTATTCAGACTCATGTGAGATATGAAATAATATAGTCAGTCAACACTTTTTCAAAGAAATCTATATAGGGAAGTAGAAATGGAGGGGATCTTAATCTGATCAGCTGTTATTTGCTTCATAAACAGAACAACTTAAGGTGCTAAGCATGAATCAAGAATTCTTAGTCTGAATTTAATATGCCTTGTTGTATATGAATTCTGATGTTTTCATCGGCTATAGAACTTCTCTTTCAAGTAGAAGTGGCGTAATATAACTTTTAATAGCCTTGTTTCCTTAGAGATACCTTCTGGAGTCATTAATCCAATAGAATAGAATAACATATAAGATCTTATGCTTAAAGCTTATTGCTCAAAGTATAGCCTGTTTCATGCTAAAACAGTATCTTTCCTCGTCTATTTTTCTTGTTGTCAGGTTTCTGATTATTCATGTGGGTTGTCATGGAATTAGAGCTTCCCTTGATAAAGCCTTATTTAAACTAGTTGTCAGCTACAGTAATACTTTTTGCAATGCACAGGGCAGTTTCAAATGGTTTCTTCTCTAATGGCCAGTTAATACCGTTCACTTATGCTGTCGCCTGACTGTCACAGCCTCTACTGATAATCTTCCTCTTTGTTCTGTGTTCTCTTCATCTTAATTTTGCTTCTTCTCTCTATCACTCCTCTTTCTTAAAGCATGATGTGGAAGCTTGATTGTTTGAATGGTTATGAAGTGGTATGAAATTTAAGTCCCAAATTTAGCTTGTTTTCTTATTAGATCATCTTTTTTCCTGTCCTCTCAATATCATTGCAAGTTCTGACTGCATGTGGAAATAAATTGTTTGACATGTAGAATTTGTAGGTTAGGTAGAGTTATGCACCTTATTTACACTGGCAACAGTCTTAGATCTCAATGTATTTATTACTGTAGTCAAGTTCTTAATGAGTTGCATAAATTTTGTTTTAATGTTTCCTGCATGGTAAATAAATAACTTCTTGTATTTACATGGTTGAAACTTCTTTACTCTTTGACTGAAAATGTACTACAAAGAAATGACAGTGCCTGAATCTGCTATTAGACTGCTTCCTCATTGACCCTATCATATTATTTTTCCAACTGCTGACTGCTTGAATAAAAGGAGACTACAAATATTTTAGGCCAAGAAATCTTGTAAATACCGAAAATTAGAATAGATTGTTCATATTCACAATGTGCATAAAAACAGGTGAAAGGGAGTTTCTTGTATCATGCTTGTGTTGTTTGGGGAAGAGGCAATTGAGCTGATACAAAAATGGTCTCTTAGTCCATGAGAAGTAAGCTTTAAAAAGTCTGACCTTCAAATAGCCTTTCTAAACCAATTGCATACCTGCCAAAATGCCAGAAAGTCAGCTTAAGTTGGATTAATTTCACTGTCACAATCTTCAGTAGATCTTTTAGTAATATACCCGACAATTAAAAGGACTAAGGCGACAACCAATAATAGATACTGGCTGCATTTGTGCCTTGCCACTTTATGTTTGATCTCCTATCCAGGTGGATTGTGCTTGTGGCTTACATATCCAAACTGAGGACGCATTAGAAGCATAAATCCCGCCAGAAATCCGGAGATAAACCCTCCTATATGAGCTGAATTGTCCACATTGAGGAAGAATTCCAACGGCTAGATTTAGGATAATAATCAACAACATGGTCGTCAGAGCTTCACACTGAATAGAAAAGTTAGAACCCTCTATTCTCAAATTAAACTGTTGTTATTCTATAACCTTATCATTGTCTTAGAGATTTCTGTTTTTCTCATACAATTTAAAATCTTGTAAAGCGTACAGTGTTTACCTTGTTTGTATAGTTTGTCCGGTTTGTAATGAGCTCTGAAAGCATGGCTCCCAACAGTCGGAAAAGTGCGCCTGATGCACCAACAGGTATGGTTTGTCTACGACCAGGAGTTGGAGCAGACCTCAAACTCCCTCCAAAGCCAGAAAGCATATATAAGAGTCCAATTCTCACTGCAATGTTCAAGTAACTGGAGAATTAGTTACCATGTTGATGAAAGCTCAGTAGTTGTATTTAATGATTAAGTTCTCACAGAATCCAAATTCTTGCTCTAGTTGGATTCCCATGAATAAAAGGCTCATCATATTAGCAACTAAATGGATGACTCCAGCATGCCGCCACATGCAGGATATCAGGCGCCAAGCTTGCTTGGCCTCTACTACCAGTTTCCAATCAAAGGGCTCCTAGTTGTTTCAGGCTGCGAAAACGAAAATTACATGTAGAAGTTTACTTAACATAATATTACTCTGCCTCAGTGCGGAAAATATAGTTTATCCCAGCTGAATCTGTTTCAGCATTCCATCCTGAGTTTCTTTGGTATTAACTAAAAACATGCATGTCTTTTGAATTTTACATTCTTCTATGAAATTTCTTATTGTAGTTTTTAAAGTGATCTTATTCCACATTTACTAAATATTAGTTTCTTGTGGTCTTATATTCAAATTGGATCATCTATTTATTGCTGAATCATTTAAGATTGAATATTGAACATGATATCGGAACCCAAGTTCTGTTCCGTTACTCTTGTGTGTTACCCCATCCAATCATGTGATAATGACATGTTAAAGTGTTGTTAATTATCCCATTTGTCTAGATATTTGTATTGAAGTTGAGCTCTCTACTTGTTGTCAATAAGTTTTAAGTTCCAATCACACCATAAGGTTTTGTTAAAGTATTACTAATTATTCCACATTTGTTAGATATTTATCTTCAAGTTGGGTTTGGGGTCTATTATTAATGGTTTTAAGTTGAATACTTAACCGTACTAATTTTAAATGGTCATATGCCATAGAACGTAAGATGTGGTAGACCATAACCATAAATAACCTCTATGAGCAGCTTATTTTTGTTTTGAAGTTTGGAAAACATATAGGGTAATATTCCAAAATATTTGAAGACTATAGGCATATCTAGCATAAACCAGGGTAAAAATCCTGGTTAGGTGCCAGAGCATAAGTTTCAAGAAATCAAAACAGCAGATCCAAAAAGGGATTTTAGCATCAGCTAGAGCCCCATTTCCTACATCGTTCAAGCGGATGCAGAAGCCCCTCCATTACAAAGATTGAAGCCATACCAAGTCCCAGAAGGAATAAAGGTGTTGTAATAAAATGTGACAGACTTGGTATAATAGCCGTACACAGTCACACTCTCTGGCTTCCAACCGTCAGATCCACTCCTGTAGAGGTACAGATAGCAAACCTGGTATGTGCAGGGACCTTCTATTTGAAATGTATCAGTAGAACACCTCTCAAACGTCCTTGAGTATGGATCATCCAGCCTTGGTGCATACACCTAATCATTCAAGCAACAATCATTTAACCAAATGCCCCTTATCAATATCATGATTCCACTAATTAAAAGGGTCTGAGTGAAAACATTCCAGTAGTTGAGATCTGAATTATTCATGGAATACATTTGTACGGAAGGCTAAGATTAAATAGTCAGAACAGTCGAAAAGATCTTTAGCAGCCTTCTTTTCCTACTGATTTCATTTTGGATCATTAAAGGGCAATTAATGTATACATCTGGGGTTGGGGTTCGTTCAGTATGTTAATGATCATAGACAAGCATACCTGGTTTCCATAGGCATCGCCAAATGCAAGACTAATTTGATCTCGTGTATAGGAAGTTGAAGAACAGCTTGTCCTTATTGACACTGTGTAAGAGCAGCTCCCCACGTTCTATGGATGATGCAATATAAGAGACTTATTTTAGACGTTATAAAAGTAAAACAATCCATACAGTATGGGCTACACCATGAAAAAAACGGACACTATTTGTCTTTTCCCTTGTGCACTTAGCTAGCTCTAGGAAGATTTCCTGGAAATTTCATAAACAGGAAACTTGTAACACTGAAGTTTCCTAGCAAGATTTGCTCAAAGAAAACTCTCACTGACACAATCTTATACTTGAAGATGTTTTAAGCTATGGGGAAATGGATGTTAATTACTTGTAGCAACAGTTATGTGTGCTGTTGGTAGAGTGCTAGACTCTTATCAAACCTTGAATACCAAAAAAAAGTCTGGAATCAGTTGGAAAAGAACTAGAATCGTACCTGGGTAGCAGTGATCTTGAAGGATTTGAGAGGGTGAGGCAGTGGAAGGATTCTTGTAGCGTCTGCTAAGGCAAAGAAGATGAAAGTCAAGGGGAGCAAAAAGATCACTGCTCTGCTCATCTTCCCAAATACAAAATTTTTCCAAGACAAAATCTAATATCTGGATAGCAAAGTTAGAAGTCCTTCCGGATAATATAAAACTAATTGAGCTTTCTAGTAATGAAGGGTAGGTAAGTCTTTTCAGGTAAAAGAATAATTATCACATAACATAACATTGTATGCTATTGTAAACTTTTAATTGACTTAAATCCAATCATCCAACAAATGTCTCTATTTTGCCCTCCAATATCTTCGCCCTTTGTCACCTAACTCGCCCATTTGGACCGTAAAATTCTATTAATTAATTAAGTTACGAAAGAGACAATGACGATTGACGAATAATCCCATAATGTTCATGTGCAGATGTTTCCGCCGTTCATTTTATCTACCCAAAAAACACCCTGGAGATGAGTGCCCAATACAGAGTTTCAGAAGTTTTCTTCATTTTTTGTCTGATAAATCTATTTGGCATACTTGTCTTCGCTTCTATCTGGATAGCTGTGTCTTTCCCCAATGTAATCAAGTCATGTTCTTATTTTTACCATCCCATTTTCCCTTTTTTTTTCTCAATAAGTATGAATTAAAACTACATTCTTCTTTAATTTTTTTGTTAAATCTAACAATTTTAAACACGAAAGAAAAACAATAAAAAAATTATTTCATTTAAAAAAATCATATATAAATTTAACAAAAATAAAAAATTCTTTAGCACATGGATGATCACATAGATATGAATTCGTATCTAACTTTCAGATAAACAACAAAATGTTAAATCTTGCGCACCCAACGGAAGGAGGAAGCACCGTGGAAGAGGGCAATAGTTGAAAGCTGATTTTTTTTTTTTAGGGGGGGGGGGGGGGGGGGGGGGAGTTTAAAAAGATGGTTCAGTGGCCTCTGCTATAAAAAAAGATGGTTCAGTGGAGATTTATATGGCTCCACGAGGAATTCTGGATGCCATTTACATTTACAACCTAAAAACTATGAGGCAACCGTCCAACTTGTAATATAATCTTTGATAAAAAAAATTAATTTTATGAATAATGCTTAAATTATAGTAATATGCTTAATATAGTATCTAAATTTTAAAAATATTTAATTTAATATTTAAATTATAAATATAATAATTAATGTGATATTTAAAAAATTATTTTTTTATCTTATCATCATTTAAAATTAATTATTTTAAAATAATTATTACATTAATAAACAAATTTATAAATTAAGAATCACATTAAAATTTTGAAGTTTAGATATCACATTATATATTTTAATATAATTTAAAAACTATTTATATTATTAACCCAAAACAAAACCTCATTTTGAAGGGCGAGTGCATGAAATTTTCGCATTCTATTTTTTACCTGTTCAGTTTAATATTTATCTTCTATATTTATCCATAGCCCTTTGACTGATTAGTAGTATTTTTATTTTTTTAATAAAAAATTAAAAAAATACTAAGTAAATTTTTTTTTTAAATTTTTAAATTTTATATATTTATTTTAATAGTTTGTAAAAATATAATATAATTTATTAACTTATGACAATATATATAAATATAAATTTGACAGTTCATTGAATGTAAATTTTAAATTAAAAAAAAAACATTATTATATAAATTTGATTTTATTTGCTATTAATGAAAATTTTAAATTTTATAAACGAGATTAATAAATTAATAAATAATAAATGAAAGATATGTCAATCTTTTAATTTTGTGTATAAAATTACAAAATAATACTAATGATAGTGCATAAAAAACGAAGTTATAAGGTAGTACTACTCTAATTTTGAGGCCCATGTTTAGAGATGGCACTAGATCCATTTCCTTTTAGCCCAAACTCCCCGTAGAGGTCCACGCTGTCTCCCCATGTACTCAACTCAAAATGGCAAAACCTAAACCCCAAACCCCCCCCCCCTCCCCCCTCAAAGCCTAAACGACCACCACCGTAACCAGCATAGAGCAATGATGAGCTCTCTTTCAGATCCCTTCTAACTTTTCCGGTAAACTTATATTCTTCATGCTCTTTACTTTTGATCAAAGCAAGGAGTTTTTTGGTTGTTTTGGTATACTTCGTGCCTGCTAATCTGTGTTTTTGGGTGTTCTTGTTTCTGGGTTCTTCATTTTGTTCAAGATAGTGCATTTGATTCTTTTATCAACGTCTGGGTATTGTGTTTTTGAGTATTTTTTGATGATGGTGCCTTGAGAAAAGGGTTTTGATAGCTGGGTATGGTTCTGTTTGATGAAAGTCCTTTTAGAGTTGTTGTTCATTGGCCGGATTCATGTTTCTGGGATTCTCAGTTTTCTTAAATTGTTGAACAATATTTTGATACATTGGCGTCGTATGGATGAAAAGATATCAGAACATGTTATCTCTGCGACCAATTCGCAGATTTTGTCATGCTGCTTTTGCTTCTGGTTCTGCTGCCATTGCATCAAAAACTGATACTTCTGCAGCTTTCTCAAAGCAACCATCAAACATAATACCTTTACAAGAAAGTGCCCTTTCCAAGCTTAAAGCTGAAAGAGACCCTGATAAGTTGTTCGCTTTATTCAAGGCTAATTCCCACAATAAACTTGTCATTGAGAATAGGTTTGCATTTGAAGATACAATTGATAGATTAGCCGGGGCTGGCCACTTTGATTACATTGAGCATTTACTTGAGCACCAGAAAACTCTTCCACAGGGTAGACGAGAAGGATTCATTATGAGGATTATAACGTTGTATGGTAAGGCTGGGATGATAAAGCATGCTATGGACACTTTTTATGATATGCATTTGTATGGATGTAAGAGAACTGTTAAATCATTCAATGCTGCACTAAATGTTTTGATTCAAACTCGTGATTTAAGAGCTATTGAGGCATTTCTCACCGATGTTCCACCAAAATTCATTGTTGAGTTGGATACATATACAGTCAATATAGTTGTCAAGGCGTTCTGTGAAATGGATTTTCTGGATAGAGCATATTTGGTAATGGTACAGATGGAAAGGCTTGGAATAAAGCCAGATGTCATTACGTATACAACACTCATTTCAGCATTCTATCAGAAAAACTGGTGTGAGATTGGTAACGGGTTGTGGAATCTTATGGTGTATAAGGGGTGCAGACCTAATCTTACAACTTTTAACGTTAGGATCCAGTATTTGATTAATAGGAGACTGGCATGGCAAGCTAATGATGTGATGCGTTTGATGCAGAAAATTGGGATAGACCCTGATGAGGTTACTTACAATTTGGTAATCAAAGGTTTTTGCCAGGCCGGTTATCTTGAAATGGCTAAAAGGGTTTATTCTTCTCTAGAATGTCATAGCGAGTACAAGCCCAATGTTAAGATTTACCAGACCATGATTCATTATCTCTGCAAAGGAGGGGAGTACAATTTGGCCTATACAAGGTGTAAAGACTGCATGAGGAAGAATTGGTTTCCAAATGTGGATACTATTCATTCACTCCTCCAAGGTCTTATGAAAAATGGGCAACTGGGCAAGGCTAAGATGATTTTGACATTGGTTAGGAGTCGGATACCACCCTTTTCCTCTACTCAATTGGATTCTTTGCAATCTGTTTTATCAAAAGACTAAATCAAGATGACGGAATGAAAAAGGATCAGTTTGATTATGTAAAAACACAGCTTAAAAGAAGCTGATATTTCTTTTACCCCATGCAGTTGTAGTTTCATGAAACAAATTGGAGATAGATTTTAATGGCTAACATCAAAGCAAACACGGATCCCATTTTTATTGAATTAATTTGTTGTACCACCTCTACAAGTCCTTGATGAATGAGAATTCTAATGCATAGCAGAAATCAAAATTCTCGTAAGTCCTCATGCAATTACTCTCTCTCTCTCTCTCTCCCCTGATTTGTTTCATTCTGTGCACATGGAGCTCCTCTGGTTGCAACTTTTATTTTCTTTTTGTAAATGAAAGATGCTTGCTAAACTGTTTTGCACTTGCAATTCCATTTTTTTTTTTCTCAATGAAGCATGCATATGGTGTTTGACAGTCCATAACAATGAATTGTTATCTTTGTTTTTGCACCTTGTCAACATAGAATTGGCAATTTTTCGTTTTAGGTTCTAAATTACATGAACCAAAATTTGTCTTCAGTGCCTGTGGATGTATGTTTTCATATGTAAGTTTTCATTTTGGTCCTTAATAACATCCTGCTCTGTACATGATAAATTACCTGAGCAAAATTCCAAGTTTTGATGTGTTGAACTTGGATTCTGAGGTGTTGACTTTACGAAATGTTTCAGCTTCAATGATGAAGGATAGAATGGCCATGGAAAGAAGGAAAACTCTTCTGAATTAGATATGATCAGATGCTAAATCAGTGAGTATCCCATATTATTATGATTTTGGGTTAAGCGGCAGGATGTGCTTGGTTAAGTCATATCACTCTTCACTAAAGAAAGGTGCATAACCGAGCAACTAAGTTCCATTTTACCTTTTGTATTGTGCAGGATTGGGAGGTGCACTTGGAGGCTTTCTCTATTGATGTTTGGTGTTGGCCACTAAATTGTTAAAGAATTTGAGGTTGGTTTCTTGAATGAAGTGCATTTCAAGGCTCTAAGAAGGGTTCAATGAAAGAATTGGTAAAGGGTTCAGCCCCTTAAGTTTCACTCAGTGAGATTGCAAGACGGGAAAACATTTGGGTTTTCCTTCAGTCCGACAGTGGGTTAGGCTTGAGACATTGTCACAATTGTTTGCTTAGTGTGCTTGGCAGTAGTTTTATGGGCTGGATGAACGATATGGCTTTTCGTAATGCTTTGTAAAGATTAGAGAGAGCAATCCCACTACTATAATATCAGAATGGCTGGTTTTCCTTCTTTTTTTTTTTAATAGGAAAAAGTTGTAGATTTGAGGAGCTTGTTCTTTGTATGCTTCCATGAATGAAACGTTCATCCTTTGTTTTTATCCTTATTTTTCGGAAAGAGCCATTCACTCTTCTTTACTTCAAAAAAGAAAAAAAAATTTGCATTGTTGGTATCATGGAAATAGAAAGGCACTAACTTTAAGTTTAAGTCATTAAAAGTTCTGAATTTCACTATGACATTAAGAACTTTAGAAGGTAAAATTTTCTCTTGAGAGGCAAAGTTTTCCAACATTCTTGCTAGAAGCCCAAGTGCAGAAGAAATTTGAAGTTAAAGATTGTGGCTCCCCAAATGATCATTATTTTAAACCCCATAAAGCCCCCTAATAAAACTCACATCTCTTTTCTCTTTTCCCTTCTCCTCCTCCTCGCGTCTAAATCCCTTCTCTCCGGCATCAAACCTCTCCACACCCCAAAATGATGTCCACCTTCACCGTTTCGCGTCCCACCCCACCTAAAAAACCTCATCAATGAAACCATCCAAATCCTCAAAACCCACCCATAATGGCCTGATTCCTTCGAAACACGTTTCTATGATGACGAAACCCGCGTTTCTGAGATTGCCCATTTCGTGTTTGATCTAATACACGACGTTGAATTACGTATAAAGTTCTTTGATTGGGCCTCTAAAGAAGAGCCCAAGCATTTTCCCCTTAATGGGCTGGCTTATTCTTCTTTTTTAAAGCTTTTAGTGGGATCCAAACTGTTTTCAAAGATCGAAACCGCGCTGGAAAACATGAAAATGGAAGAAATAAAGCCTACCCATGAAGGTTTAAGCTTTGTTATTCGCGTCTATGCGGATTATGGCTTTGTTGATAAAGCTCTTGAAGTGTTTTATTCCGTGGTTAAGATTTATAACTCTGTTCCTAATCTGTTTGCTTGTAATTCGTTGCTTAAATCACTTGTGAAGTTTAAAAAAGTTGTGATCGCCCGTAAAGTGTTTCACGAAATGGTTGTAAGAGATGGCAGTGTTGATAATTATACTCTGTATAATGGTGAAGGGTTTATGTAACATAGGGAAGGTTGAGGAAGGTGAAAAATTGATTGAGGATAGGTGGGGAAAAAGGTGTGTTCCGGATATTGTATTTTATAATACATTAATTGATGGGTACTCTGCTAATGGTGATGTTGAAAGGGCTAATAAGCATTTTAAGAAGTTGAAAATGAAGGGGTTGTTGCCTACATTGAAGACTTATGGAGCTATGACAAATGGGTTTTGCAAGAAAGGGGATTTCAAGGCAATTGATAGGCTTTTCAAAGAAATGAAAGAAAGGGAAATGGCTGTTAATACTCAAGTTCATAACACTATTATTGATGCTCAATATAAGCATGCTTTTGAAGTTAAAGTGACAGACACTTTAAAGCAGATGATTGAGAGTGGATGTAAACCTGATATTGTTTCGTATAGCACTTTGGTTTATGTAAGGATGGGAAGGTTCAGGAAGCTGGTCAGCTTCTGGAACAGGCAACAAAGAGGGGATTGATGCCTAATAAAATTAGTTATACCCCTTTGATACAAGGCTATTACAGGTTAGGGGAACATTTCTTGGCACTGGATTTGCTGATTGAAATGTCAGAGAGAGGACATAAACCTGATTTAGTTGCTTTTGGAGCTCTTATCCATGGACTTGTTGCAACGGAGAGGTGGATGCTGCATTAACAGTTAGACACGGGATGGTTGAAAGGGAAGTTCTGCCTGATGCTGGTATATATAATGTATTCATGAATTGTCTTTGCAAGAAAGGAAAATTTTCTAGTGCTAAAGTCCTCCTTGCCGAGATGCTTGACCAAAATGTATCCCCTGATGCATTTGTTTATGCCACACTGGTCGATGGGTTCATCAGGAATGGCGATATCCATGAGGCAAAGAAACTCTTTGAAACCATGATTGAAAAAGGCATGGATCCTGGTGTTGTGGGATACAATGCCTTGATTAAGGGTTTCTGCAAATTTGGAAGGATGAAGGAAGCACTGTTATGCGTCACTAGAATGATAGAAGCACATGTCACTCCAGATGAGTTCACTTTACAATTTTAGATGGTTACATAAAGCAGCATGACATGATTGGTGCGCTGAGGATGTTTGGACAGACGGTGAAAAGAAAATGCAAGTCCAATGCGGTGAAATATACCTTTCTGATCAATGGGTTTTGTCAAAGTAGAGATTTCAATACAGCGGAAAAAGCTTTTAAAGAAATGCAATCTTGTGGTTTGGAACCTAGTGCAGTCACATACACTATACTTATTTGGAGCTTTTGCAAAGAAGGTAAACTTGCAAAAGCAGTCTTCTCTTTTGAATTGATGCTGTCTAACAACTGCATGCCTAATGATGTTACGTTCCATTATTTTGTAAATGGCTTCACAAACAGTCCAAGTGCAATTCTGGATAATCAGTCTTTGGAGAAGAAGTCTCTTTTTCTTGAATCTTTTAATATGATGATATCTGAAGGATCTGCTCTAAGAGCTGCTGTTTATACTCTATCCTCCTCTGCCTTTGCCAAAATGGAATGACTAGAATTGCTTTGCAATTAAAGGATAAAATGGTGAATAAGGGATTCCTTCCTGAGTCTGTTTCTTTTGCTGCCTTTCTACATGGCATTTGCATGGAGGGAAAATCAAAGGAGTGGAGGAACATAATCTCCAATGATTTAAATGAAGAGGAACTTCAAACTGCTTTGAAGTACTCACAACTTTTGAACCAATTTCTACCTTATGGAATAACTTCTGAGGCATTACTTATTTTGCAGACGTTGACTAAACATTGCAGCTACGAAAACCAAAAGGAAGATCTCATATGTAAAATACAGGAGTAAAAATCAAATGCAAAACACCTCATCTGGATTTACTAGAAAGACATATGGAATTGAAAATAATATTTAGCTGGCTTCACATGTGAATTGGTGGTCTTAAATGAGGTGGGGGTGGGTGGTTAACTGCGGCTTTCACCGGATCACCCAATACGGAGAAGATTTTCTTGGCAGTCCTTGAAAATTCATTTTAGCTCCAAAACAAGTAATGACAAGGTGTAAATCAGGTAGTGAGTTTCTTTTTGTTGGAAGCTTAGGATGGATACGGGCAATTGTGGGTTAATCTCTCACTAATGGTGCTTGTGCAGGCAGGCCGACTGTAATTACATTCTATCGAACTCATTATATACAATGACAGGTTCTGAGGCAGAATTGACTTGGGGGTATCGACCAGGATTTCATTATTTGACTCTTAATATGAGTGTAATCTTGAATGCGTCTATAATTAGTCCTTTACACTACAGAACCAGTTAAGCGCAGGTTGGTACTTTCATAGTTTTTAAGCCCATTACAGAAATCTGACTTTTGAAGTAGTTAATTAACTAACTGCTAAGTAAAATATGAAACTAATTTATAGGGTATTCAGTCTAAATTAATATGTTGATATTTTGATACCATGTGGAATTTTGATTATAAGAGACACTGGTTTAGATTTAAATTCATAGTTAAAGTTGTTAATTATTTATTTGACTATTTTATTATAGAGGCAAAATGTTTTTTTCTGATATATGATAAGAAAGTTCTTACCATATTGTGCCACTATAAGATGCATGGATTTAGTTGGCCGCATGACATTACAACTTGTTTCTGTGATTTCAAATTTGCAATATACAGCTACATTACAACTTGTGTCTGTATTTGGCTGTATATCAACCAATCCATCTAATTAAATACCCACTTTATTGTGTGCTTGTCAAGATAGCTCATGAAAAGTGATTTATATTTAAACGATTACTCCGCATTATATGTGATTGTCAAGATAGATCATGAAAAGTGATTCATGTATGCATAAACTCTGCATTGGCCAGTATGTGAGAGTATTCAACAAATTGCAGGTCAGTTTTTTGATAATTTTGATTTTGGGAATTGCAAGTCAAGAAGATGCTTTCAAGTGTTGAAATATTTAAAATTAGTATCAAACTATAAGCTTGGCTGGATCTTGTGGAACCTCATGAGGAGAAGGCTCCTGAGCAGAACTTTGAACCTAACAAATGGTTTCATAGCTGCGTATGGAGTTTGATTTGGCTAGATGTACACATCTCGCCCCTCTTTCATTACCATTTCCTTTTGTTTTTAGTTATCAAATAACTGAAGACGTAAGGACTTTCGATTTTTAGATATCAAATATCTGAAAAAAGTATCATTAATGAGTATAAAAGCTATTACCTGTATCATAAATCACATGTTATCTAAAGATCAAATTTTATGATAAAAAATGTTTTGAATAATGCAGCACTAATTCCTTCTTGGAAAAGTGTCCTAGAAAATAGCCCATCATGCAGCTTAGAGCAAAACTGTACTTACATTACTTATAAACAACACAAATGTCGTATTATGTAACGTAGATAACTGCATGTGATCTCCCACATGATTTCTGTCCTTATATGTAACAGCCTAAAATAGTTATTGCTAAAGTTACTGATATTTCCATCTATCAGCATCTTTATTACACTTCTAATTTGTTCCTTGCATGTATGTTTCTTCTTACAGAGGCAGAAGCTGGTACTTTGATCTGATTTTACACTTGCTAGCTACTATCTCAAATCCTGCAGCATGTCATCAATCATCATGGTTAAATTCAGAGACCTAAATCCAATATAGGTTTGTATGCTTTTTTCAATTAAGGAAAAGAAGAAGATAAAAGAGGAGGGATTTACTGTATATATTCAATGTTGATTTTCCTTCCATGATGTGCAATAGCTACAAAAGCATCCCTGGACAGCATAATTGTAGAGGGGCATGGTGTGACAGGGCAGTAATCAACCACTTTGACATCAATTGTTCTACGCTTGCATGGTCTCTTGGGACCGCTCAGGCATCTTAATCTGTAGCGCCTCCCACAAGCAGCACCGTTATCCCATAATCCGTCGCTAACAGCTACAAAAAGATTACCTGGTGGAAACTGTTCTTCTCTATTACCATCACATTTAGTTGCTGCAAGATCGAAAGGTGTAAAGAAGATGAATTGTTTATAATTCAAGTCTTGAGTTGTTCTTCCAACAGGAGAGTGTTTGAACGCAGTAAAAAGAAGAAAGAAAATAAACTCACGTATATAGGGAGGGTTATAGAATGATGCAGTGCCAATATCACCATGGACGAAGTAGGCTTCTTTGCTTATCATTGCAGCAATCACAATTGCCAATACCAGGAGTGCCATTACCTGAGGCGAAGAATAACAAAAACTATATCAATGATGCCTTGTGCCAAATCTTCAGCTATGTGCAATTCAGGTTCGTTTCACTCTTCAACTTTTGCTCCTGTAAGAGAAGTTTTCTTACCATGCCAAAGTTGGGAGAGAATATATTTTTATATATCTTAGTAGGAAACTTTCATCTAGAACAATACTTGATGTGATGCTATAAAGGAACATTTCAGGTCACGTAAACGCGTTTAAGATTACCAAACTTGTATGTACAAGTAACTTGATATCTTGGACATCTTTGGTTAGCTTGCGACATAATCACATTCATTGAGGCTTTCACGTTGACATGTAGCCATAGTCAATTTTAGAGTTGGTTTCCACCTATAAGGTACAAAAGTGGTTTATTTCATTGCATTTTGCTTATGTTTATCTTGACAATCCGTTCCAGATTGCGGTTCTGGTTCGCTTTGTTTCCAAGCATGCCAATTTCTTTGTTGTTTTCAGATTCGCCCAATATTTTTGTATGCAACTTTACAAGATAGTGATTTATCCACTTTCAGTAAAGAATAGATTTGGCAAAAAGATTATTCGGTAAATGAAATTAAATTCTGCACTCACCAAATTTATAGCACAAAATACTTTTATCATAAATGTAAACCACAATAATTTTTTTTATATATACAAATATTAGGTTGCAACTTGAAAATAAAAGAAAAAATTATAAATATTGAGATTTAAATTTTAAATTTGTTACATATCACTTATTATAAGTGATTCTATAAATCAATTGAATTAAATTTTTTATTTAAGAATTGTTTTTCTTCATGGTTTGACGTAGATGAGTAGGGAAAAGGTTTGGATGAATACGAAAAGGCTTTGTTTATGGTATGACGTCGAAGAATGCTAATTGGCAATGCTTGAAGAACTTGCTACAATTGCTTGGAAAGTAAGGGATCAGGTTTTGCTTATTAAAAGGAGTTTGTCTAATCGCCTAGCAACTGTTGCTGGTCCTTTTAATTATCCTTGACGTGGTTAGTCATTAATGACAATAATTAATTAAGTCTTGAAAGCAAAGAAAAGTAATTTTATATGGTCAGCAGTTCAAATTGCAAACACATCCCATGATCGAGTCGAAGCAGTCTTGTTCCTTCTTCCAAATTTTCCATGTTAAGTTTCCGTATGTTTCTTAGTCTAATGATTGAGTCAAGGGGACATTGCTTCTTGTTAACCTCGTGAATGATTTTAAAATTATAGTAAAATATTTAATATATTATTTAAATTTAAAAAATTTTAATGTAACACTTTGAATTATAAATCTATAACTAATGCGATTAATTTTAAAAGATATTAGTGATGAATAAATATTCATTCAAATATTATATTAATTAATATATTCATAATTCAAGTATTATATTAAAAAATTTTGAAAATTAACATATTTAATGTTTTACTATAATATAGGGATTATGTATAATATTAATTTTTTTAGACTTGATAATTCATGTATTTATGTTATATTTATTTGAGTTTAAATTTATGTAAAATACAAAATTATCATATCACAAATTTTGTCAACACTCAATATGTTAAACATGAAATATATTATTTTTATTTTTACCAAATTTATATGTGATTTTTAAAAAAATTGTAAATCATATCATTCTTATATTTTTATATCATTTTCATATCATATTATGATACTGTATTTAAAATTATCAAATATATAATTTTTTTTAGTTCTTAGAAATGAAAATAGAATTTGATTTCAATTGCGAGATAAAATCACCTAATTAAAATTATTTTATTTAAGTGCATTTTCAAAGATCAATTTTTTTTATTGCTTATTAAGCCCAAGTTTCTCTCAAGCTTAAAGGTTTTGGTACAATTTACAGCTCAGAGGGGAAAACTTGATCGAAACCCCAAGCTCTTGGCGACCAATGAGCATTGAAACTTTAAGACAAATAAATGAATGATTCGCTTCCAAAGGAACTTCAAGCACAAGCAATCCAATTTCTAGATGCTTTCTGCCAGGAATTTTTTTTTTCTAGATGCTGACATGGGAAAATGACACAGTCAGAATGGCTTTAATAAAATACCTTTGAGGATCAAAGGAAGAATCCAATACAAGTGTTTTACCTTTAAATTTCAGAAAAAAATTTCAATAAACCCAGCTAAAAGGGTTACAACCTACAATTATGCAATAGAATTTCATACAAAAAGAATACCTAGAAAAAAAAGTTAACAATGAATCATCACAAAAAGGAAAAAGAAAACTAGAAACTAGAAACTATAATTTGGATTCACAAAAGCAGTCAGGCAAGGCAGACCCTCGTCCCATGACAAATCATCTTTGTGAACCTTCCATAACGCTTGCATCAACGCTTGCATCATACCAGGATTTTTTTTTTTCTAGGTGCTGAAGTAAAAACTTTTAGAATCCATCACGAAATTAGTTTGACATGAACATGGGAAAAAGACACAGTCCTCATAATGGCTTTAATCAAATACTTTTGAGGATCAAAGGAAGAATCCAATAGAAGCGTTTTACGTTGAAAATTTCACAAAAAAATTTCTAGAAACCCAGCTAAAAGGGTTACAACTATGCAATAGAATTTCATACAAAAATAATACCTGAAAAAAGAGTTAACAATGAATAGTCACAGAAAGGAAAAAAAAAAACTAGAAACTAGAAACTATAACATGATAAAATCATCTTTGTGAACCTTCCATAACGCTTGCATCAACAGCTTCCCTTCCAACCCTTCAGAAGTAAACTCGGCGAAAGCTCTTCTGCTTAAGAAAAGAGTTTTGTACAATCCTTTAAAAGCTCGCATTGCCGCCACCATCTTATCCATGTTTCCGAAGTATGTAGCCATGTAAGAATCACTGTTTATAGATACATAATAATCCAATGCAGCTTTTGTGTTCCCATGCATGCTTTTGAAATCCTCACCAGTAAGCAGGGCCGACTTGGTAAATACATTGGTATAAATAGATGTTAAACCTTCAATCTCCATTAGTCCATCCCCAGCTGCAAGGTAAATATTTGTGTTTGTCGGTATAGAAAGTGCTTGAAGTATAAAAGCTGTCTCACTAGGTGTGAGAGGACATTTCCCCCTTTTCCTCCAAATGCGAGCTGCTTCTCCAGTCCATGGCTTTCTATCATCTCCACCTGCAGCTTCAATGGCTTCCATCGAGGTAGGAGAAAGACCTGAGTACTGACACTGGCTATAAGCTACCATGTCTGGCTCAAATCGAAGGTGGAGGGAGAGGAAAGGCTTGGGTATGGCTTCCAGAAGCTCAGTAGCCTTCTTCTCCAATGATTTGGTCAGCCTTAATGCACTGTAACAGGCTTGACAAAGGGCAACTTTTGCATATTGAGGGTACCTAGAAGATGTCTTAAAAAAAAGATACTCTTCATCTATGCAATAATTCTATGTAAATGAAGTGTGAGAATTTCTGAAAGAGAAAAAGCAATACCTATCCCTTCTTTGGCTCATTGCTGGCGTGAAAGAGATGTAATGATATTTCAACAAGGATGGAAGAACACTTTCGATGTAATCAAATTGACCTTTCCGTTTACTACAATCTACTCGATAGGGTTCTTTTGATGATATCTCTGGTGGCAAGTCTCTGACAAGTTCAACAAAACCATTCATCCGTTTTATGAAGTAATTGACATCAAATACATCTGCAAAGCCACTGTGGTGAAAGCAAAGAGTTACAAAGATGTTATCTACATAAAACAAAATGGCAACATAAACACGTTTGGTTATCATTAAGCACTCTACCATAGGAAACTTTTTGGCTACACTCACATGATAATAGATTAAATGTAATGCTAAACGAAAAGAAGCTGTTAACAACTACTAGAATCATGATTGTAATATCTATGACCAAATTTCCAGTACATACAAAGAAGTATATACTGATAGATTTGTTTATAATTTAAATATTTAAAAGGAAAAAAAAGCATATGGGACATATCATAACAATTTAATTAACATCCGTAGGGAAGTGTGGGCACTATGAAGAAACAATAAAGCTTCAGTAGCACTTAAATCATTAACATTATGAATTTATGGTAGGACAGTAAGGTACAGGTTCAATTTTCCGAAGTTGATCCCTTAACAACCATTTGCAAATTTTCTAAAGAGAATCGCACAAGCACTTATCAACCTAACGACAAACACCAATGTGATAAAGAAAAAGGAAAGTAGGGATGATAGCAACAATAAGATAGGGCAAGTGGTGGTGTCTGGAAGACATGACTTATAACACTAATCCCCCCAGACTAACGTACAAGCAACAGCAGAAGCATCGGGTATTGCTTTGGTTTTATTTTGCACTCAATTTTTCTTGTAATCTTAACTTCAATAAGTAGATTCAGAATTATTCGAACTATATCACTAAGGGTATTTCCACTACAAGCATGACAAAATTAGTGATGATTATAACATTAATGTCTTAACATGTTTGAAAATATTCAAAAAAGATTCAGAAACTACAAGGCCCTGAAAACAAGATAACCTACTCACTGCATTTCGATTACCTTGATTCATTCCAATATGCAGCCACCTCAAACTTTGGCAACACCAAAGTAGCATTTAGCAGACGTGCAATACCAACACCATCACAAAACTGCCCTCACCATGAAAACATCTGACTTTTAGAGCACATTAAAAGATTAAAAAGAATTACAATAACTGTGCACTCACATCTCTTCTCATCTGATTGAGGCCACCATAGCAATCCACACGAATATACCCATTACTCTTGGCTGGTAGAGCTGCAGGATTTCAACAAAAAAACCAATGCAAATGTCTGCACTGATAGCCAATTAAAAAAATTGACTCAGAATATCAAAATCCAAACAAAAGGCTTTAACCTAATGTAAACCCCACTTCCCACACTCTTTTAAAACTTTAACACAACTTCACAAAATGTACCCCTTTCCCATATACTTCTCCCGAATCTACATCAAACAAATCAATGAACTTATGTCATTAAGCCATATGATATTAGTATAATCCAAATATTATTTTGATACCGACTACAACAATGTTTTCCTATCTTTTACATGAAAAACTAAAAAAGAAAAAGAAAAAACCATTTCTCAAACACTAAAAATTCACTCCTTTTCTTACTCCCTTGGCACCTAACTCATTAAATTATACATACATAGATACATAGATACATACATATATATATATATATATCCTCCCTTCACAAAGAATAATCCTATTCCAAATACATCATTGAATTTCCCCCCAAAATCCAATAAAAAACCCAATAACCAATAAAGCTAATGCAGGAATCATCAAAGGAATATAGTAAACACTAACGGGTTAGGCGAGACTGAAGCCACCAATTGCAAGGCCTCCATTCCACAATTCTCTTCACACTCCATACATCCGATTCGGCACTGCAATTTTGCCAAATCAACAAAGATTCATAAATAAATTTATCATATATATAAAGAGAAAATAAGAATCCAAAGAGAGTAGATTGATCGGTAACCTGTTAGGAAAGTTCGAAGAATGTGAAGGCTGCAAAGACGGCGTTGAAGGAGAGAGTAAAACGGCGGCCCAGAAGAAGGAAAGTGTCGAGATGATTACGAACAATGGCTGGACCCTCATTTCATAAAAATTTTTTTAACTATGATTTTTAAACAGATTCAACTGGGTTTCGAGAAAAAAAAAACAAAGAAAAAGATCAGGTTTTAGAATTTTTATACAAAAAATGTGACACCATTGAGTAATGGACTGAGTTGATAACTGATGACGTGTGGACTGTGGACAGATTTCGTTTTAATGGTTCGGATTGAACCGAAGTTTTAGATCACCGGTTTTTTTTCCTATTTTTAAAAATTTAATAGATATCACGTCACTGTTACACACTAGAAAAACAGTTTAAAATTACTCCTGCTGAAAGGATAAAAAATTTCGAATAAAAATTTAATAATTATTTAAAATTTTATTATTTTATTATAATTAATTTAATTCTTAAAATTTATTTTCATCGATTAAGATCTTGTTACACAAAAATTAATTAACTTTCAAAATCAATTTTCATCTAATCAAGAGTTCAATAAAAATAAAAATAAATATTTATAAGTTTAATTGGATAAAAAAATATGCTTAATGGATCAATTTATCTAAAATAAAAAATTCATAATTTAATTTATTGT